GCGCAAAACCTGATGGAACAACAAGTCCCTGCCAGCGAGCATGAATGAAAAGTGCACCAAACTGCGCACCCACCGTGTTGTGCACGAAGGAGGGGATCTTGTGCCCACTCTTTGAACAGCGGCATGCATGCTGTCCAGCATTTGGTCAACCATGTCAATGGTTCTCTTCACATGTCCTGTCATAGGTGAAAAGACCTGGAAGATAGCAAACTTGATAGGAGCCTCAATGATCACTGCCATCAATTTCCAGGTCAGCGGTGAGCCTGGAAATTGAAGATTGTAGCGCCAACAGGAGACAGTAACTGCAAGATGCAGTCAACCATGCCACACTGCCAAACCATGTCATTTCAAACCATGTGACAGGGGGAGTCAGCATGGGATGATCAGCGCGAGTGCATGAGGATGGAGGTCCTTGGACCTAAAGCTACATAGACTTCGTGTCTCCAATATTCTCCAATCACCTTCTTAAAGGGTATGTGGATCCCTAGGGATGCATATAGGCAAATACCCCTCAGGGTTCTTCCCAGCAATCAGGACGTGTGTGAACCAAAACCACCATTTCAGAGAAAAACACGCGTCTGGGTCGAGTTGCCACGGTGTGCTTAGCAAATCAAGCCCAGCCAAACCTACCCAGTCTCCTAGCGGTCGCCTAGCAGTCTCACCATGGCCGGTGCATTCGCCCTCGCATTCTGTCACACAACTAAGCCTTGGAACCTCAACATGTCAGGGGTTAAATTCGGTTAAACCGAGCAACTTTGGGGTACACCGCGCCACGTGATCAATGGGATATCAACCCACGACTCACTTCATACCTCAACCCCATTGGATCACGGGGAACTCAACCCAAAGATTGGACCTTCGAAGACTTCGGTCATGACTTGGACACTCCAGCTCCCCTGCCCAAATAAGCTTGGCACACTGGCCCGGTGCGTGTACACCACTTTTGGGGCGCATGTCCATACCCAAACACAACCTGTTTGGGACTGGCATATGAATCCACACATTGGTGGAACAGGTTGAACAGGGGGTCTGTCTGGGTCATAACAATCAAAGCGACTCCGGGCCTCCACGTATTTCTCCACATATTGGACATCTTCCACCTCGACGTGTTTCACAATGGGCACGTCAACCTCCTTCCTGGCGATCGAAAACAGTAGATGTTAGGCAGAATACACCGACCCTACTATTCATGTTGGAGCAGAAGGGAGAGACGCAGCGGTGATCGTTGAGGTAATGGACGTTCCCTCTTCATGTGCCCGACAGTACAGATCCTGGACTGGTTGCGAGGCATGGTGAAAATCCTTCACGAGCTTGAGATTGAATACAATGGCAGTGGTGCCACTCTTTTTTCAGAGGACCTACGTATTTCCAGCTCCAGTGCTGTAAGTCCACATCTACGGATGAATCCCGATCGAACGAAAATCGGACGGACAAACGTGGAAGAAGACACCGGACACCGTCCATCCGGCTCGGGGTCGTTCGGATCCTCCAGATCGATGTTCAAATGGAACTGGAGGATGATGAGGCAGTCATCTACCCAAACGCTCCGTTCACAGCCCGACAGGGTCCCTCAAAACCAGAACGATTGGTTCGGGTCTACCCCTCCAGAGGATTCGGGTCCGACCCCTGCATAGGTTCGGGTTCAGGATCTACTAGAAATCCAAAGGGCAGTCATCTACTTGATCAACCCAGTTCTGGGAGTCCATTCGTTGCACGGCTAGGATGCCGGGGAGACATACTATACCCTAGATCCCCGGATAGGCCTTGTGGAGTATCTATAGTTACCAGATGAAGGGCATAGGCATTTGGTGTGGATGGGCTTCCAGCAAGGTCTCCCCGTCCAGCAAACCAAAAACTCTTGCTTCCTTTCGCCAGTTCCATGGCCTTAGACCATCCGATCAACCCGGAGGGTGGAGAATTGTGGGAGAGAACTATCAAACAGATGTTCCATATACATGTTCCATGCAAAAACCATTTGGAAAACCATACATGTTCATCCATCAGCTGGAACCTGAATGTTGCATAAACTCGGAATCATGTCGAGGGCGGCGTTGGCACCAGATCCGACCAGCCGGACACCAGGATCTACCCGGACCCGACCCGACCATCGCTGTCTAGGGGGGCGAAGCCTCCGCCTAGACAGCGAAGCATGCCCTCAAAGCCTCAAAGCCCTTAGTTTTGGAGTTATCCCGGTCACCGGGGGTGGGGTCGTGGAAACCAATTTTGCAGTACAACAAAACTAGGGATTTTTCGTTTGTAGTTTTGGAGGGTTTGGAGGGTGGAGATCCTACCCGGGTAGGACGGAGCAATGACCAGCAATGACCGTCCGGAGAAAAAGCCGCATCCCTTTTGGGTCCCAACGAAGGGGCTCCACGGAAGAAAGCAGCTGCGCGTTCCGACGTTCGGCCAAGTCCAGTTCTCGCAGCCCGTTGTTCCGAGATGAGATGAACCTATCCCAGGACCCGAACCATTCGAGGTGTCTGTAGCTATAGCCTCCGAAAAAGAGCTGATTGATTCGGGGTGTCCCAAAACCACCGGATGCTTGGTTTCGGTCCTGGTCTAGATCGAGCCAGCGGTCGCAAGTGGGCTTCACTCGTGCGGGAAACGCTCCGAACGGCGAGATTTCGAGCAACAGCTGGCTCCCTAAGCAACAGTTATGATGATCCTGTACCAGGACCCCCAAGGGGTGGTTAATGGACACCCATTAACCTCTAAGGGGCTACTAATGGACACCCTTTCCGTGGTGCTGGTAGCTGTATTTTGCGGCCCGGACGGGCCTGACCCGGACTTTTGACCTGGTGGCAAAGCACCTCCTTCGTTCGACCAAAGTGAGACATGATATTGAATACAGGGGTCGATGCTACCCTCCCTGGGAGTCCAAGACCATTTTTAAAACGGAAAGGAACTTTGTGATCCGAAAAAGAACGTCCTTTACTTGGGTGGTGCCTGAAAATAGTCGAACTGGACTTCTAGGGCCCTATTATACCCCATTGGCTGCGCAGGACCGGAGCTATCCCCTCTATCGAGGGCATCCCCTCTATCGGGCAGAACAGGCCATCTATGGAGTGTGTCAGCGCTTCGACCGTTGGCCAAGCAAAAGTGCCAGACTTTCTCCAAGAGTCCTGCGGGCGTCCGCATCAACGTGTGCCCACACGGGTCGGTGTGTGTATTTACTAAGAAAAGCACCTCCAAACACCTAGTAACGTCGACCTGTTCCCCCTCTGTTCCCTACCAAAACCGGTCGGAACACCACGCCATGGGAGGTCTCGCCCCCAAACCCCGACCCACCCAATCGTTTCGTTCGTCCTAATAGGGCAGATCTGGGGCACAGAGACCTCGCCGGAATCGGGAAAACACCGCTCGGTGCCAACCCGGAAGCGTCGAACGGGCTCGGCGCATGGGGAGGTGGAAGACTTGGGGGAGTAAAACTCAGTACCCAGACGCTCATTGGACCCTCAGTTCGCTAGGGTTTTGACCCTCACAACTAGGGTTTTGGACCTCAAACATGTAGCAGTTTGAGGGTCAATGAGCGTCTGGGTATGAGAGAAGATGGAACACTGTCAGACTAGGTATGACTATAGGTATTCTTGTTTCGCATCTCTTCTCTCGACTGTCTCAGATCATGGACAATTTTGATCAATGTTGTATGTACTAGGTTGGGTTTCAGAGTTTGCGCAATGTTCCCTTTTAATAGGTCACTCCGTTTGTTCCGTTGTGCCAGTGGTTTCTGAGAGCTTTCCATGTTTTGGGACACACCAACATCCTCATCCGTCATGCCAACTGATCGACTCCCCTGTCAAATCGACGTCCAGGGACCGAGGACGTCCGTGTGAGACGTTTCGCCCCTGCACGCGTTGGAGAGGTTGTTGCATGTCTCTTGGAGACGCTGGGCTGCGTGTGGAACACCACAACGGATGGTAGATCCCAACATCACCATGACGTCCCACATATGGACTCGGAACCATTGGGTCATCCGGGGCCCCCTAACCTGCCCTTAGTGATCCACACACACACACCGTATACCGAACGGCACAAGGTACGAATGGACATGAACCAGGTGCCTACACAAAAATATAGGTTGCATATAAGTACATTGCCAGACTGCATATTGAGTGCAGAATATGTTGATTGTTAACTCTCCTCAATTCTGGTCAACTCTTGGATTGTTTGGGGTGTCCTCTGTAAAACCCGCATTGTCACCTTTCACAGGTCATTACGTTGCCAGAGTGTATTGATATGATTGGTTTGGTATAATTCACTGGTGAAACAACGGCTCCAGTTAAGCAGGCGCTGGAAGTGCAAAACGTTTATAGCCAGTTTAGTCTCAAACGCGCCTGTTTTTGCACACGTTGGATCTGCGGCACTGGTTTGTGCACCTCAAGCATCAGGTGGTCACACGAGCAGAGCATGTGCCCTGTTGGGGGCCATGACCCCCGGCTGAAGATAATCAAATAGGGGTTTTCAATGGTTTTCACTCATCCTTGGGCTGATGTAGAACCTTGATTATATTTCAACCAGCATATGAAATTTGGTGTGCGATACAAACGTTGAATTTTTCCCAAATGCGTAGAAGGGTTCCCGTTTATATTCTGGAGCTGGACCTGTGTTTGCGTCGTGTGTGTTGCGTTGTCGTTGCGTCGTTGTGGTATCGTCGTTGTCGGGTCGTCAACTCCCTCACAGTGGCGGAACGCCTCAAGGGGCAGCTCTACACGATGTGCCCGAGGTAGTGTTCTTATGTTGCGCTTTGAGACATTTGTAGTGTGGAGGATGATTTTGCTGTGCAGGTGCAGCATTTTGTGACAGCGGCCATTCCCGTCGCTGTGACAGTGGGATTGGGGTTTAGAGGGTGGTATGTTTGAAGTGCTAGGTGTCGCTTTGACAGTGGGATTTGCGTTTCAGGCTGTTGTTTCGAAGCTGTGTTTTCGTGACCAGTCTCAGGTCAAATTGCAAGTTTTGGTGGATGGGTGGATGTGTGAGTGGTGCCAAAAGAAAGAACATGTTGCAATAGGTCGCAACATGTTCATGAGCTTTTGTGACATCGGTGACACGGTTGCATGGCAATGGCAGGATGCACGCGCACCGCGTGTAACCACGATGCTGGCCTGGCAGACTTCATGCGCGTTCATTACTGTACAAAAAGAACGCGAAGACCTTCAATTGTACTTTCGGGTTCGTGACTGCGATCATTGTGTTATTGAGGTGCCCGGTCAGAGTGTGGTACTCCAACGAAACCCATCAACGGAACCAGTGCCCCTACTTCACCTGCAAGTACCAGGTCTACCGGGTCAGCATCAACACAAATAACCACCTACCACGTCCACGTGCGGGAACTGACCACTTCCGAGTCCGAACCGCTCCGCCCGGAACCGGAGCGGACTCGGAACGGGTCAGCCCGGAACGACCTACGTAGATGAACGAGGTCTGTAGATGTTGTCACCCAAACGCGTGAGTCACCAGGATGATACCAGGATCAACCAGTATCAACCAGCAGGTGTGTTTTTTCTTGCGAGATTGCCACAAGAGGCGTCATCTTCCCGTCGGCATCCTCCATCCGGCTCTGGAGGGAAACCTTCTGCCAGTTGCACATCTGGCCTTCGCCGATCAAACCATCTTTCATTGCTACTGTCACTTGGTCGAAGATCATCGTCACACGATCGAGGCACTTCGAGGCCGTGTAGGACACAGCTCAAGCCGAGTAGACTCGAACATCGGCTGATGAATGTCTGTGGTACCAAAGACCATTGAATGCCCTGGGCTCAAGCCTCCACGCGGCGGGACCCTGGGTAGCTGTGTGGGCTAGCGAAGTGAGCCACGCCATGGTCCATGCAAAAGATATTGTTTCCTCAATCCTGGAGGTCTTTGCATTTTCCAGAGCATCTGCTGAAGGACGGGTCCATCTAGCTGGCATGATCACTTCGGATGGAGGTCGATTTCCATGTTTGAAGCTGTGGCAACCGGAGGGGTTCTCGGATGCCCATTTTCGAGCTGAAATTTTGGAGATCCCAGCAGCCAATTGCCTATCTCGAACTGTGAAGATTGAGTGGCATTCTGAGGATCCATGTCCAGAAGTGGGCTCTTATGGCATTTGCTGGAACTTGCTGGCCACGAATCAAGATGACGTTCCGATGTGACCGATGGTCATGCTTCATCCATCAGCCCAACTTGGTGGCGCCACAAGGCCCTTGCAAAGGCTCTCCATTCCATGTGCTAGAGCTCTATGCAGGTGGTATTGGTGGATGGTCGGCAGCCTGGACATTTCTGCAGGATCATTCACCCATTGATCATGAGACCATTGCTGTTGAGCAGGACCTTCCAACATGTGTTGCATTTGCTATGAATCATAATAGTGAATGGCCTTGACCGCTTGCATGCTCATGATTTGTCTGCGCTACCCAAACCAGTGGTTGTCCAAGCCCACATTGAGCAATCGGGATGGTGGTCCGCAGTTGGTAAATGGGGAGTTGACATCGTGTCCATCTCCGCATCGTGCAAGCCTTGGTCAGGCGCGGCAGCTCAGCCTGGACTGTTGGCGTTCGAAGGGGAGAGTTTTGCGGTGGCCACTCAGTTGACCAAGATTTTTAGACCCTCCATGGTTTTTCTGGAACAGGTCTATGGATTCAACCAGCATCCTCACAAGCCAATCATCATTGCATTGCTCAAAATGGCTGGATATATCATACGCTGGGAAAAGATCGTAGATGCAGCTGATCAGAGTGCAGTGCATCGCTTCCGTTGGCTAGCAATTGCAGTTCGCTTTCATGACATGCCATTGTTCGGAAGCCTGTCATTTCCTGGAAGAAGATCCAGTGCACACCCATTGGCCTTAATGCCATTGTTCGGTGGGACCCAGCCCAGCTCCAGTCGTTGAAGATTTCAGAAGATGCCCTACAGAAAGCGTGCCAATGGCAATTTTTGCCCCCAACCAAACGGTGCTTTTCCAAACACCTTGACTCAAGCAAAGTGATGGCCCTGCGCTGTAATCAAGGGAAGGAGATTGTTGACACCTTCATTCTTCATGGCCATGTACACATCTCAGCATGACATTCCGGATCAAGTGCTTCGAACCAAGGAGTACATGGCTCATTTCGTGCAAGTCCCGACACCAGAAGAGTCGAGTTTGGGTCAGGAGGGAACACCAAGATGGTGGCATCCGTTTGAGGCATGTCTGTTGCATGTTTGCTATAAGCGCTGCTTCATTGTGAGTGATCGCTCGCAAGCCTGGGTCCATGTGGGTAACCAGATCTCTGTTCCGCATGCCTTGTTGGTCATTATCAATGGTCTGAACCTGATGCTGAATGCTAGCGCCGAGCTTGACCTTCACTCTCTGTTTGAGCTCCTTCACAAGTGTCACATGCAGGCCAACCACGTTCACCGAATTGACTTTGATGAAGGTATCCTCTTCCGTGATTGTCGGTCTGATGACATGGAGAGTCACCCTGTTGATGTTAGGCCATTGCTTTGTCACCTCCACCCAAGAGCATTCTCAGGAGACCATGTTTGGCACCCTGGCAAAGGAATGATTGCCAAACAATCGTTAGACCCAGCTATCGACAGCAAGCCGGTAATAGCAGACACCGTGTCCCGGACGCCGATTGCCAACGATGAGGCATGCGCTGAGCTCGGCCAGGCCCTTGAACCTGCACAGAAACGTCCTCGCATTGGTCAGGAACTCTCGCCGGCTGCACCCACGGATGTTGACACGTCCGAATCAGAAGCAGGGGAACCATTCTTTGACCATGTCTTGTTCCAACAGGGTTCAGTAATTCGGGGACTCTGGAGTGACATTCGCATCAAGCAAGACCAATTTGTGAACATTTGGCACCACCAGATCCTTAGCCTTGGCCATGAGAAACCACCAATGCCAGGCAGAGAAATCCTGCAGTTTGGGGCATGTTCCGTTTTGTCACTTGCACCATCTCACACACAGCCGCTATGCCTGATGTTAGGAGGTCAATTAACTCTCTTGGCACACCCGGACACTGACACGGTCATTGCCAGCCTTGTTCGCTCCACAAGTGCACCAGTTTGGGATCAGTTTGGACAAGTTCAAGCGGAGGCGGTTTGGGAGTCACATGTGGCATTCTTTGACCATCCATTGAGTCAGGGCACGTTGACTAGACCTGTTGGGATTTTGCTTCCGGCCTTTCGTGCGTGGCCCAGTCAATTTCATTGGTGTCACAAAGGAGACCTCCTTCAACTCACGATTGCAGGTCAGCCTGAGCAGGTTAGTGACATAGAAGCCTTTTGGCAAGGATCCATGCGAGAGATGCTTGCATCCATCGGCCGTCAGTGGTCCCTCACAAAGACACAAGCACAAGTCACCATTGTGCTTGGCCCAGCATCCACCAAGGTTGCTTTGCCGCCAGATCACTCATGGCTTGCAATTGGAGTTTCGGCATTTCGGGTTTTGTTGGATGGCTGTACAGTCGAACCCACAGATGCCCCATGCATCACGATGCGTTGGAACTCCCACCATTTGTGGAAAGGTCACCTTGATCCTGCATGCAAGTTTCGGGACCTTGAAGAATGTCTTTGCTATGTCCTCCGTCCAGTCATCGGTCCATCCAATGTTCAAGTCTTCATTGGTGGTAGGTCATGGTCCCTCATGGACACGATTGGTGAGGCCACGAGGTCGTTAGCTGAACCATGCATTGTTCACATTCGTTGTGATTGGTCAGGGCACTTTTCTGGGATTCCTGACCCTCCGCCGGAAACAAGCATTCGTCAAGAACCCGCACCGGGTAGCCTGCATCCAACAGTGTCATGCACAGCCACCTGGCCAGCCTCGACAGGGCCAGACCTCGAAGCAGGTGTTTTCGAATCAGCAACCTGCCCTGTGTCAGCACATCCGCCGTGTCAGCCACGCGATGCAGTACTCAGCCATAGTCAAGGCCAAGGGGCACCAGAGGTTTTCCCCTTGTGTGTCATTCCGGCCAACCATACTCAACTGCCAGATATCTTCCCACGGCCACTATTCCTGCCAAGGCAATGCCAAATTGGTCAGTTGATTGCAAAGATTAGGTCGGTCCTTTTGCAGCAAGGTGTCCACTATTCGGGTCCGGTGTACATTGTGTTTGATGGTCGTGTCCTCAAGCATGCCACCAAGATCAGTGAGCTCGTTGCGACCAATTATGACTGGAACTTTCCTCGCACGTTGACCATCACCGCGGAAGACCTGTTTGGAGTTGGGTTCAAGCATACACACAAAACCAAGGTTTCCAATGCGTTGGCAGGGACGTTGCTTGAAGGAGGATTTGCAATCCAATGGGTGTCCAAAACTATGGAGATGCTCAACACCAAGGTTGATCACAAAGATCTCACTGCCGTTGCAGGCATTTCTGCTGGACCCAAGAGGCTCACTGCCATCATTGAGTTG